GTGGGGATGGTGTTGATATTGATTTTTGGTGAAGTGTTGGGTTTATACGGGTATGGATAGTTCCCTTCATGCGTATTCCGTTGAACCGTGCTTGATAGCTAACTATTCTGATACAAATAGCTTGATCGTCGCACTGATCTTAAATTCAAAGAGTTAGAGGGATGAAATCATGTATTTTACGCATTTGTTGTATATTTCAGGGATCGGAGCATATTTTTGTTAGCCATTGATTGTCGGGGAATTGCTCTACGATAGCTACTGTTTTGCCACATTTTATAGATACACAACTACTGTCCCGTTTGAGCTGCGCTATAGGGGAACCTTTGTGGTGGGAATCTGGGATATACAAGGTCTATTTCATTTGTCGCCTTTGCCATTGATAGGGAAGGGAATGTCCCGATCTGTTGAAGTTAGATTGGGTTCTTCAACCCCAGCCATTTGCAGATTTGCAGGCATGATTTATTCCTAGCATAATCTGTAGACAATATGACTACAGATGTCTGAACTACCATCTCCAATGATACAAAAATAAGACGTACAGAGGGCATTCCATTACTCTCTCTGGTCTTCTAGTTGAACTTGCTCCCAAACCCTATTATGTGTCGGTGTACTATTTTCTACTCTCTGGCCCAGCCGCGGATTCTTGGCACCGGCTGCTCTCGCCGCCTGTCTACGTCAGACACCCGCAGCAGTGTGTGTCCCGCAACCGGGCAGCTCTATGGATACACCTCACCCTTCTATACGCTCATTCCTCCCAACCTTTAACCTTCCACGTTATGCCCCACCTACATCTCACCTCATATCTCAGTTCGCCCTTGTCCCCTACCGCAGTCCCCCAAGTCAATGGCGGCCCTACCTCCAGCTAGTCCGTTACGCCACTCTTTCCAGCCTCTATCGCCAATTTGAGTTACATGCACTGCCATCGCCCCTCCATCTCCCCTCCCCTGCGCTGCCGGCTCATTGAAAAGAAGACGAAAACAAAGAAGAGGACGTCAGACTATAGCGGCCAAGGACATGATCTCTCCCTGTTCCTGAGATGGCCGCGGAAATGCTTCATGAGCAGCAGCAGCAGCAGCAGCAGCAGCAGGCGGCCCCGCAAAGGACGCACCAGCAGTCAGATATCGCCATCGACGTAGCCGCCGCCGCCGCCGAAAAGTCCTCGCAGCGCAACATTCTTGAGATTCCGACCAAAAAAACACCACTGCAACCTTGTGTCCCGGGGCCTCCGGCCTCCCGCCCGCGAACCCCGCCGGACATCGTTGAGAATCGGGAGAAGAGTAGACTGGATATACCATCTAGCGCGCTGAGTGTGAATGACTTCGAGCTGCTGAAGACGCTGGGTACAGGTAAGCAGGGAGCGCAGGATTCACATTTTAGCGTTAAAATTAGCATAAGCAATGAGCTTTGGCTTGGTGTAAGGCTGGTGCAGGGTTGGCTTTGGTGGGCAGGTGGACAGTCTGTCTTGTGTCAGGGGAGATAAATATGATAATTAACATACATACATTCGAAATAGGTACATTTGCGCGAGTTTGGCTGGTTCGCCTTCTGAAATATAGAGACCTTGAAAAGAGACCATTTGCGCTTAAGGTTCTTCATAAAGCGGACGGTATGTGCATGTATATTCCTCCACTTCATCACGTATAAGCTGTTTAATTCTTACAATGTGTTCGGCCTTCAGTTATCAAACTGAAACAGGTTGAGCATGTCCGGAATGAGATCAAAACCCTAGCTGCTGTTGCTGGTCACCCTTTCATTACTACCCTAATCGCTACGTTCACCGACGATCTGAGCTTGTATATGTTGGTGCGTTAATTATTTTTACTTCCCCTGTGGCGAATCTGTTGCATTGTACATGTACATACATCTACTTACCAGGTATTCAGCTCGAATATTGCCCAGGCGGAGAGATCTTTACATTCTTACGACGCGCGCGGAGGTTTACTGAGCCGACTGCTCAATTTTACGCTGCAGAAATCGTTTTAATTCTTGAATTTCTCCACGACGTCCATGGTGTCGCCTACCGCGACCTCAAGCCAGAAAACATCCTACTTGACGCAGATGGCCACCTCAAACTCGTTGATTTCGGTTTTGCGAAGGAGATATGGAGCAGGGAAACATACACCCTCTGCGGCACGCCAGAGTACCTAGCTCCAGAGGTCATCCACAACAGCGGCCACGGCCTAGCCGTTGACTGGTGGGCTCTGGGCGTGCTGATATACGAGTTTATAGTTGGACAACCGCCATTCTGGGACCCAAATCCCATGCGCATATATGAGCAGATTGTCGAGGGACGACTACGGTTTCCTGCAAACATGCCCCCAGCTGCGCAGGATATTGTATCCCAACTATGCAAAACCAACCCCTCCGAGCGCCTTGGTCACATACGGGGGGGATCCGCCAGAGTGAAGCAGCATCCGTTTTTTAAGGGGGTTAATTGGGATGATATTTACCACCGGCGAATGAAGGGGCCCATAGTTCCGCGCGTGGATTCACCGACGGATGCGGGCAATTTCGAGGACTACCCAGACCCGCCAGACCCATCGCAGCTTACTCCGTATACGAAGGAGATGAGAGACTCGCATGAGGATATGTTCAAGAATTTCTAATATAGACAATAATTGGACCATTTCGCGGGCGCCGCTCCATACAGCCAGCTGGGGATTTTGGCCAAGCCTGGGTGGTTCCCCGGATTGGTAGATAAACCCTAGATCGCACCCATCGTTTGTTTTCTACCCCTTTCTCCCGATTCCATACTGGAGTACCTGTGGGGAACTACTCATACTCAGATCCATCCTCTACCCTTCCCCTCCCCCTTCTCTCCTCGTCTAATAGTTTGGCCCTCTCTATGCATCCTCGGTTTGCAAATCAGACGTCTAGGATAGATATAAGATATATATCCAACCGTATTCCCTCCCCTCCAACGTCCTAACTGTATAGCTGTCGATACGCCCATGATACTACTACACTACACCATACATACTTCATTTTTTTATACCCCCTTTACTCTTGGCCTGATTTGGTTCCAAGTTCTTGCAATCCATTATCCCCCGCTCCCCGGACCATGCATACCACGTACCAACCATATATCACCCATCTATCTATGTAACAATCTACCTATACCGATCCATTGAATTATCACCACACACACACACACACACACCCTTTGTTAATATCCATCATCCCTATCCCCCACGAACCAAGAAATCTACAACCTTTTATTTAACTCAGGCATACCATAATATATAATTTTTTTTTAAGGGGGGCCGTCCTTACGTCTTATGTCCGCTTTATTTCCATTTCCATTTCCATTTTTCCGCCCCTTTTACTTTTCTATAATTTAGTGGTTGTGCCTAAGGAGGACGGACACTGGCACTGGGGAGGGACCAAAAAGAGCTCGCGTATCATCACCACCAACCAACCAGCACGGTGGACTTCCGGGCTCAGGACTCACTAAACTGGGGGGTTAGGTAAAGGAGCTGCTGGGCTCGAACCCATCATCGTGGCGAGGAATATATAAACTATATAAACTATATACATATACATATATATATTATGTTATAAGTTATCAGAGAAAGAGATTAATATCTACACCGTTGTTCCCGGTTTTCGTTTTCGTCTCGTTCCGTTCAGTTCAGTTCAGTTCCGTTCCGTTCCGTTCCTTCCTCTCCTCCTCCCCCTTCCCCCCCCTCCCCCGCCCCAAAAAAAACATACCAATTACCAACAAATAGAACCCTTTTCCCATGATTAAATTCACGACTTCCTTCCAAGGTTTACTTACTTTACCCCTTACCTCCCGCTTCAACTTCCTCCACGCTCCCGAGGAGCCATGCTCAACCCAACAACCATCCATCACACCAATCTATGTATGTCTGTTCTAATGTATTTACATATATACACTTTTTACACCGTAGAGCCAAACATATATTTAAGATTGATTTATTGATTTATTTAGTTTTTGTCTCTTTTTTATCTTTTATCTATTTAATGTCACAAGGACCCCCTCCCCTCCCCCTCCATCCTCTCTTCTTTCTTTCTCCCCACTGAAATGACCTAACGAAACAACACAACTACAACCAACAAAAAAAAAAAAAATAAATAAATAAATAAATAAATAAAATAAAAATAGTAAAAATAAAAATTCGATCGAGGAAACCCAACGCGATGAACACCCAAAACACCTTCTTTTAGTTAGTAAAACCCAAACCAAAGCCCAAAGCTCTCAAGGAAGGAGGAAATGAGATGAAATGAAATAAGGGGGTACGTCGAACGTCCGTGGGGAAGATATTACATATAGGAGTATAGGAGTATAGGAGTATAGGAATACAAGCGTGTGTGAAAAAGGTAAGGTTTTATCACTTCGTTTTCGTTTGGGTATTGAGTCGTGAGTTATAGTGGGTAACGCGTAGTTAGAGACGTAGTAGTAAGTAACGTAAGTAGAGAAGGAAGGAAGCAATGGCGATTCGCGTAGATTGTATACGTCTTTGGAGGGAAGTATGGGACATAAAGGGGGTGTGGGGTGGCTTGGTGAGTTTGTGGTGTTGATGCATAGCTTTTTTTTGTAAGAGAGTCTTACTCTGCGCGGAACTATGGGGAGGTCGGGGGTTGGGATTCAATTATCTTCTCGGTAGATATCGTACGTATCCCCCCGTTAAAAGAAGGCCGCGGGTGCTCCGATTGCCTGCCTGGCTGCCTTGGCTGCTAGACTGGTACAGCTGGGCATGAATCTCCCGTCCGCCTTTATTATTTTCATAAACATCAGAGGTAAAAAAAGCAGCGGTGCGGCCGTGCCGTGCAGTACGGTCGGTGGTGCTGCCGAATGAATTGCTGATTATCATATCATATCATGTCTTTTGGCTGACTGGCTGTCTAGCTGCTGTCATGTTGTGTGTGGTTTGTTTTCTACTTCCCCCTTTTCCCTCTGTTCCTGCGTATGATTGCGGCATACATGTATAACTAGAGTTGTACCGGGAGGGGGGTCCCTGGGTGGCGTTATAGCCCATTACATATATATATATATATATATACATGTTGGCGGTGAAAAGGGATTTAGTTTTTTCCAATCTATTTTCCAGTTCCCCATGTCTCAATTGGAGAAGGCCTGGGGTTTCTACCAGCGGGTTTCGTTCGCTCGGTCCGTGGGTAAGACAGATAGATTAGTTGGAAATGAACAACTTTGGTTTCGGTGGAAAGGTTTTTGTTCGGTACATTGTTTTTTTTCCTTTTTGTTGAAAAAAAATGGCCATTGTAATTTTTGTTAATTTTGGATTTCGGGTGTAGCAATAGTAGTAGTAGTAGTAGTAGGTACAGCTATCTGGTGGCCGATAAACCGCTCCTGCTCTGGCTTCCAGGTACCTATTGATGTTTTTGTGTTAGAATTGTTAGTTTTGTATATATTATCAGATCAGGGATGGTCAGGGATAGTCAGGGGTATTGAAAAAGGGGTAGGGGTAGGGGCAGGGGTGAAGAATAACAGTGTAGGCCAGGGTTAGGGAAGGAAGAGGCAGAATAGATGAAAACACCGGGGTAGAAGTATGTATAAATATATAAATATATATAAACCCACCTTCAAACTCATGCTTCACAAACGCCATCGGATCATCCGGATCCTTCGCGCCCATCTGGCGCACCCCAGGACTAAAACTCGTAATCGGCAACACAACCACATCCCCCAACTGTCTCTGCACCGTGATGCCCGAAAAATCCATCGCCGTCACATTCCGCCCATGCGGTGGCCGCGCGGCTTCGAAATAGTTCGGGTCATTGAAATACCGAAAGACCGCATCCGTCCACACGGCGGGGCCCGTGAACTCGACAATGGACTTATCCATCTTGCTCGGGGTTAGGATCCCCGCCTGCTTCATGCGCAGGGTTTCCTCGGTGATTGTCGCGACGACATCGCGCAGGACCGGGTGGCCCGGCTTGGACTGGATGGTCCACTGGCAAAACTGGACCTGGCGGGAGTACCACTGATACCAGTCTTCGCGGTCGAGGGCGTCGGCTTCGATGCCGATGATCAGGCCGATGGTGGAGCGGTTGACGTATCTGGGCAGCCAGTCCTCAGCGGGCTGGAGGGCGGAGGTGTCGATGTCGCTATAGATGCCACCGCGGGCGAGGAGGATGAGGTAGCGGAAGAAATCTGCCCTGAGAACGGGCAAGGGCAGGGAGCGGTATGCGTCGAGGATCTCTGGGAAGGCGGCGTAGAGGTATCTTAGCAGCGGGTCAGCTGCCTCGTCTGTGATTACTTCGTGGACGAAGGTTGGGTGCCATTCAGTCCAGCTGGCCTCCAAGGGGCGGAGTTTCTCTTCAAACTCGCCGGAAGCGGGGGTGTATTTCCAGGTTTGCCAGATGTAGGCGGGGAATTTAGATTGGACGTCATAGGGGAATTGGTAACGGAGTCGTTCGCGGAGGGGTTTCCGGGCAAGGTTATCTGGGGGTGGTGGGTTATGAGGTTGATGTACTGCCGGTTTTGATATGCCTGAGCCGGATGAGCCGGATTGGGTATGTGCAGCTTGTTGATTTGTGGCGGTGGGTGTCTGGGCGGGGTCTGGATAGGGGGGTGTTGAGTGGAGTTCTGCGCGAGTGACAGTCGAGATAGCAGGTCTAGTGTTGGAGTTGGAATGGGAGGAGAGGAGGAAGAAGAAGGAAGTGAGTAGGAAGATGGTGGCGGCTATCGATCTTCGAAAGGTAATCATGGCGGCTGTAGTTGTAGTTGCAGCAGCAGGCGGTATCAATCGAGCTGTGGAGGAGCTCCCGCCAACCATCCGAGGCTGACGAGAAGAAGAGAGGGGGGTGGAGGAGGGGAAGAACAGAAGAACAGGAGAACGCCCGGCTCAGTGGAATGATTATCATTTACTTCGTCAGGACTGAAGCTTAAAGACGACGCTGGGGTAAACAATTGGATTGTTGGATAGAGGCGGAGTCGAAGGTTTAGATGGAATCCAAGGACGTAGAGAAGTTTAAAAAAAAAAAAAAAAAAAAAACGTAATATAGCCCCAACCACAGCAATCAGACAGACAACCAACCAGGAAGCCTTCCCTTCCAGACCAAACCGATCACCGACGCATGGTGGTATATAAAGTACTCCGTAAGTAGGTATGTATGGGCAATTGGAGGAAGGAGGGAGAGAAGGGGGAAAAGGGACCGCAGAGAGGTGGTATGGTATGTATGTAGTCAATTATTTTTTTTATTAATCTAGTAGGAGAGCTAGTAACTATATGAAAAAGAGGCAGAGAGAAGAAGCCGTCAAGACTTGTTAGCAGAGAGAAGAAGAAGAAGAAGAAGAAGAAGAAGAAAATAGAACCCGCCGGTGGGAGAGAGAGAAATTGGGGGATTCTCGCGTGGTTTGGGTCGGGATGAAAAGCGAGGAGTTGCTGGATACAGCTCCCAACGAGTGAACAACTCAACAAGCATACGATAGATATACGTAGTAACGAGCAATAGAAATAATAGTAATACTAATATCAATAAACAGTCCCTGGTTGAAACACTTTCTGCAACAGGCTTGTTTCCTCATTCCCATTCCCCATTCCCCATTCATTCCCCATTGCAGCAGTCCCTCGCATTGAATCTTTTGTCCGCCGCAGATCGCGGATGTACGGAGTAAGTAATATAAAGATGCATAACCCAATAACATAACATACCCCTCGGTACCCAGCTCATCCGCCGTTGCCCGCCTGTGCCCGATGTTCCTCGATGTCCCTCGATGTATATAGTAATAGTAGTAATATATGTACGTACAACTTTCCGAGGAACGAATCCCTGCCGCAGCGAGACCCCTGCTAGACTGTTTCCGGTATAGCGCGAACTTGAAACAAAAGATCTGCACCGCCGGGGTTGCGGCTAGTTATTGGGGTCTGATCTGATTGGCTGGTCCACTCTTCGCCTCCAGACTTCCACAGGACAGGGGGATGACAGCTTGGTTGGGTTGGGTTGGGCCGGGCGATGATGTCATCCACCTATTTATTATTTATTCCAAGAACAAATGATAACTTGTTAAATATTATATCTAGATCCATATATAAATATTATATCTAGATATCTATATAGATATATAGATCCCATCAACTGGCAGCTTCACATCAGGTTTGGTCATCAAGAGAGTCTTGTCATGGTTTTCAGGTTTTTCTTTTTCCTCTCTCAGAATGCTGTCTGTCTCAATCTACATGTTACATGTAATGTACATGTACATGTACTGTACATACTGTATGTGTTCCCCTAGAAGAGACAAAAGCAGGAAAAATACTTTCTACTGGTTTCATCATTTGCATGCATATATGGTGTTGATCCTAGCCTGTTCTCTCTCACCTGAGTGAACTAGTTATATTTAAGTAGCCTACTGCTGCGTACTTCTCTGATCATCTCAAGCCTAAGTTTCAATCCAGTTCACTCAAGATAGAGTGTAAAAAGTTCAGCTTCTGCAGCCCCAGCCAGCCAGCCTACCTATGTAACTTTCTAGTCCCGCGTCACTATGGGCTGTTGAACTACGGATTAGGCTATTAATATGAATGCCGATTCCTTAACTTTTAGATCAAAATTGCTTATCATGAACATGCCTTGGGAAATACAGTACCCACATCTGGCAAATTTTAATGGACTGGAGGAGTTGATACTTGCTGAATATATATACAACGGTTGAATGTTGTTGTTTGGGTGGGAATTAATTGAGTTTGGTGCCCGGCCAAGCAAGCAACTCCTTATTTATCTTATTTATCTTATCTATCTGTCTTCGAATCGACCAAACCCATCCCAAAAATACTCCGTTAAGAAATAAGTACATACATACATTATGCATGAATATTCCGCTTTGTGATAATAATAACAGACAGATGGGATGAACTACAATACGCCATCCTCCCACAACCAACTCGCTCGATCTTTACCTCGATTAGAGAAAACGCATGTTGTCCATCCGCCCTAGTTGTTCGATGAAGTCCGTCCCCCTTTCCTTTCCCCTTGTCTCGGCGTCGTCTCGTCCTCCCCACCATCCCTGAACCCATACCATACCCTACCCTACCCTCGCAGACGGGACACGAAACATAATCCATCAATAACATTTGCGACAGCATTGCTATCGATAATAACCGTCTACAACATTGTACTGTACAATGGCAACCAGTAATAATAATAATAATAATGATGATGATGATGATGATGATGATGAGACTACAAAATCCCTCCATTCCCAGCATCTCCACCGCCGCAGCCGCCGCACTCTCCTAATCCGCCTCCTCATCGCCTCCATCCTCGCTCTCGCCCTTCTCCTCGCCATCGGCACCTACAGGCTCATCCACAATTCCCGCAGACGGCCCGAGCCCACCATGCCGCGAAAAGTGATGACAAACTTCCCGGATCCCGGCCTGCTGGAGTATAACGGGACGTGGTATGCGTTTGGCACGAATCCGACCGCGGATGATGATGAGCCGGACTTTCACGTGCCAATTGCGATGCCGGTGGGTGATGGTGGCGGGAATGACGGGGGGTTCTTTGGCGAGTGGAAGCATACGGGTCGTGATGCGTTGCCTGAGGTGGCGATGTGGGAGACCAGGAGGGATCATTGGGCGCCGGATGTCCTTACGAGGGTGAGCCTTTATTATTATTTAATCTATACCTACTGGTTCTGGACTGTTCATTTTGATTACAGTTTATTATGACCTTTACGACCACTCGGCTGACTAGCATAATCGGTTTCATTTCATTTTTCCAGCCCGACGGCCGTCATCTCCTCTACTACTCCGGCGAGCTCGACGTCTGGCGCCGCCACCACTGCATCGGCGTCGCCGTCTCAGAAACCACGGACCCGCGCGGCCCTTACAAAGCTGAAGGCACCTACCTCGCCTGCCCCTCCGCGCACGGCGGCGGCATTCACCCCTCCGCCATCAACGACGCCGACGGCACCATCTACGTCGTCTACAAGGGCGACGGGAACAGCATGAACCGGTACCCCAGCGGTAGCGATAGCAGCGATTGCACCCAGGCCATCCCACCGCTGCGGTCGACGCCGCTGCTGCTCCAGAAGATGAAAGCGGACGGCATCAGGGCGGACGGCGAGGCGGTGCAGATCCTCGACCGGGTCGAGAAGGAGGATGGCCCGCTGGTGGAGGCACCGAGTCTGATCCGGAGCGCGCAGGGGGTGTATTTCCTGTTCTATTCGAGCCATTGTTCGGATTCGCGGGCGTATGATGTCAAGTATGCGACGGCGCGCAGGATCACGGGTCCGTATGTGAGGGCGGAGAGACCGTTGTTGAAGACGGGGGATTTTGGGCTGGTGGCGCCGGGCGGAGCGTCGGTGTCGAAGGATGGGGGGAAGATTGCTTTCCATGCGGATTGTGGGGATGAAGGGAGGTGTATGTGGGTTGCGGCTGTTGAGATTGATGGGTTGGAGGCGAGGGTTGTGGCGTCTCCGTCGTGAGTTTTGACTGTATATTATTATTTTATTTTCTTGCTGGGATAACTTAGTTATTTATTTATTAGTTCTGGATAATAAATACCCATTTGGCATTTTACTATTTTAATGGGCTCCGTTTTACTCCCATCACATCACCCATCTATTACTAATAATTAATCTAATAATAAGAATTAAAGAACAAGATTCTTTCGTACAACTCAATTTATTGACCCCTGTTGAGAAATCACCGGTATTACCAATCACACCTCTCACCGCCTTCAACCGCAGCCAATCGCCGCGCCCTATGATGATGCAATGCAACCGCGGGCCCGCGCGGCAGAACAGAAAGTTCCGGCCCCCATCGCGGATACATAAAAAAAAAAAAAAAAAACGAATCCTCGAGCTGATGCTGATGCTGATGCTGATGTTGATGTTGATGTTGATGTTGATGGTGATGCTACTCTCTTATTTGTCTCTATCTATGTCTCCGTATAACAACTGTCTATCTCTAGCTCAAGTGTAGTATAGATAGATATATCGTGCGGGGGAGACTGAGAATGGCCGTTCACTCACTGTAGATCTGGATTTTTCGACCTATCATACAACCTCATATCGTTTTTTTTTTTTTTTTTTGCTTTTTTTTCTTTTTTTTCTTTTTTTTCTTTCTTGTTGTTAATGGCAAGCTCGAGGGGAGCTGCAGCCGCAGTAGCAGCTCGATTATTGACTGCGTGGAGACCAGCAATTGCTCGACGTCAGTATGCGGGGATGTGCAGACCCTCCAAAACACCAGCGGCGGGACAAATATACATATACATACCATCTGCTGCTGTTCAACCCCCCACGAACCCGTCTATACATACACAGGCTCCCCGCAGAGCCCAAGCTGCGACCAGCGTGAAAAGAACAGCGGAGCGAGAACCGTCCTCGACAAAACCTCATGAACAACACCCACAACCACAACCACAACCACAACCACAAGACTCCGCCTCGAATCCCGCCCTCTCCTTCCCCTGCCTAGACGCCCTCGAGGCCAAATCCGCCCGTCTCTCCGCCCGATCCCTCAACTCCGGCCCCGAACCCTCCTACACAACCGGCAGTCACCAAGAATTCAAATCCACCGACCTCCTCCTCCTCGACTGGGGTGGCGTCCTCCCCGAATTCACCATCGCCTACGAAACCTGGGGCACGCTAAACAGCGACAAATCCAACGCCATCCTCCTCCACACCGGCCTCTCCGCCTCCTCGCACGCCCACAGCACCGAAGCAAACCCCAGCCCAGGCTGGTGGGAACGCTTCATCGGGCCCGGCGCCCCCCTCGACACAAACAAATACTTCGTCATCTGCACCAACGTCCTCGGCGGCTGCTTCGGCAGCACCGGCCCCTCCTCCATCGACCCTTCAGACGGCAAACGCTACGCAACCCGCTTCCCCATCCTCACCCTTGACGACATGGTGCGCGCCCAATTCCGCCTCCTCGACGCGCTGGGCATAACCACCCTAGCCGCCTCTGTCGGCGCCAGCATGGGCGGCATGCAATCGCTCGCCGCCGGCGTGCTCTTCCCGGACCGCGTGCGCCGCATCGTCAGCATCAGCGGCTGCGCGCGCAGCCACCCGTACAGCATCGCGATGCGGCACACGCAGCGCCAGGTGCTGATGATGGACCCGCAGTGGGCGCGCGGCTTCTACTACGACTCCATCCCGCCGCACTCGGGCATGAAGCTGGCGCGCGAGATCGCGACGGTGACGTACCGCAGCGGGCCGGAGTGGGAGAAGCGCTTTGGCCGCAAACGCGCGGATCCCAGCAAGCAGCCCGCGCTGTGCCCCGACTTCCTCATCGAGACGTACCTGGACCACGCGGGCGAGAAGTTCTCGCTCGAGTACGATGCCAACAGCCTGCTGTATGTATCCAAGGCGATGGACCTGTTTGACCTGGGCCGTGCGCAGAGGCTGGAGACCACGGCGCGGCGGGCGGAGACCCACCGGCGTGTCCTCAGGGAGGGGCGCGCGGTGAATGAGCCGGAGCATAGCCTTACCTTGCCGGCGGAGCCGTATGAGGAACAACCGTCGTCGTCATCATCCTCGTCATCCTCATCCGGCCAAAAATCCCACTCCCACTCCCACTCCCAACAACAACAAGAACAAGGCCCGCCCACAGACCTAATCCTCGGCCTCTCGCCGCTCAAAAACCACCCGATCCTAGTCATGGGCGTGGCCAGCGACATTCTTTTCCCTGCCTGGCAGCAGCGGGAGATAGCTGAGGCGCTGGAGGCAGCGGGGAGCTCGCGCGTGGAGCATGTCGAGCTGGGACAGGACGTGTCGCTGTTTGGACATGATACGTTTCTGTTGGATTTGGAGAATATAGGGGGGCGGGTGAGGAGGTTTTTGGAATGATTTCTTTATATATATATATATATATATATATCGTCCTATTTTGTTTTTGTGGTTCATGTGTATATGTTAATAATGTTTGAGCATTGAATTTTGAGTTGCAATTAGAGTGCCCTTTATTCCCCCCACTCACCGCCTCTTCTTTTTCCCCCTCCTAGCCTCTTTCGCGTCCTCTTGGAATATCTATGATCTGGCATTTGGCATTTTCTAGAACAATTTTATTTTATTTTATTAATATTTTTTTTATCTTTGTGATATATATACATAGACATAACCGTAGTGAAAATAAGTGAAATAAACTATGGGCGCTTAGAGTAACCAATCATGTTGCCTTACAATGGAGATGATTACTTCGTTAGGCGGATGAAATATTATTTATATTTGATTTATATCCTGTAGAAGCTTGGAATCCAGACATATGAAGGGAACTAACTACGCTTAAGTGAATCAGGCTAGAGTAGGTAGATACAGAGGTATGATAGCCCATATAAAGATGCTATGTATAGATGCAATATTTTTCTTAGCCACGGGACACTAACATCGGGAAAGTGTTAAGCATTGCACAAATACCACCGCAAGACAGAGAGCAGTCAGTGGGCAGAGGGACTAGCACAAGAGCAACCCGAAGATAGAAAGCCTAGAACTTAGTTTTTGGCGTGAGTGCCAGAAAAGTGGATATCTAAATATGCAGCGCGGGTGAAGATGTGAAACGGACAAGAAATGGGAGGTGAACAAGGAGTGCGAACCAATAGATAGAAGAAGTAATTGCGAAGGCCCTCAGATTAGCTCTCGAGTTCTCATAGATTTCCATGCAGTAAAAAAAATGAAGCAAAAAGAAAAACATTTTGCAACATATTTTCGCCGGATACCCTGCAACTTTGCCGATGTTTGAAAGACATCACTTGTCAATCTCGTCATTGGACCTTCGACTTATTTTTTAATGCGATATTTTGATGTCTTTTTTGAGGGGGACAAACGGGGGGAAGAAGGGCCTTTTTCTTTTTCTTTTTCTTTTCTTTTCTTTTCTTTTTTTTTTTTCTTGGTAGTTTTCAATACGCCACCCATTCAAGACGGGACAAAGGAGGGAGAGGCGAAGTCCAGAGTCTGCTATTTTGCCCACAGCCCACAGTGTACAAGTCAAAGCCCACATTTAATCCGACCAGCTTGACTCTTGGGGCTTCACCATCCGCCCCTCTGGGTCTAGCGTGCACGCCACTTTCTGCGTCAGGAAGGCTGCGAGTCCTCATGGTGTTGTTCCAATCACTCATCGCAGACCATTTTTTAAGTCACCTGAATGAGCTAGGGCCTGGATGATGGTGCATCTGTACCGAAGCCATGTGCACGGGGCAACATATGATTTTGTAGCATGCGCGTTAACGGCTTCCTGAGTGCGTTACACTCGTGGCCATGCGCAAGTTCGGGTACAGGTTTTTGTCAAGACACTCGTCGCGAGTTCTGCGAGTGAGGGGTCCATTCATGCGAACTGCTCCAGAGCATGTTGTTCCGAAAGTTGAAGTCAGGGCTACCGAACAGTGGTCAACGGCGATCTCTTCAACACTGCCCGTCACTCTTGGATGTACAATGACTCGTTTGCAGAAAGCAACCCGGCAATGTCCGGGATGGCACTCGACTCGGACTCCAGTCTGTAATTTTTACTTCGAGGGATGGGGCCCATAAAGAAGCGCCGAAAGGAACATGTAGAGTAGCAATGCAACTTGCCTGCAATTGAACGCATTGCCGCCGAATGTTGATCAGGCAAACAACCAGGGTGAAACCCACATCAGCCTCGAATTTTATCTCTGACCACGTTACAACTCGCAAAGTCCACGGTGACCAAGTAGTTCAAGTTTCAGAGCCGGGTGCTATGAACGTGCAAACTCAATCCCAACACTGCAAGATTGCAATCGTTAGTTGAGATATCACACATTAAAGAGTGTATTGAAAATGCTTCTTCTCCATATCAGATTGAAAACTACAATAAATTCAATATTCCTCATAGGCAATGCTCAACGTCGTTACCTTCCATGAGGCAAACATACGGAACACAGGAGGGAATCTAGTCCACTCCTCCCTCGGGGTATGCAAATTGATTGTCATCATAGTGGTTTTGAAGGATTCATTGTAACAGCCAAGTTGTTGTTTTGAAGCACAGCAACATACCTCTGTACCAGATTTGTTGCCGAGGACACCTCCACGCTCCACAAGATATCAGAAGCAATTCGAACCCGGCCGCTGGGGTGGGACAGCCAGGGGGCCTATCAGAATGTCAGCATCGGTCGTTTGCTTTGCGAGGGAAACTGAAACAAGGGTAATCAAACAGGTAACCAAGCTAAGACAAACAGAAAAGCAGATGTCTCTAAGATCTCTGTTCTTTTTATCACTCACTGATGCACTGCCTTGTATTGCTTCTTCCACCTGAGTCAAAATAACTTAGGGGATGAAGGCAAAGCTCTAGAAAGCCAGGCAACACAGCTCATGATAGCTCAATGTGAGAGTCATCATCATTGAGACGCGTAGCGGAAAGCAAATCAAAATGAAGGGAAGGAGAGAGAACTCACAGTCAGCAACTAAAATGCTCACAAAGGGCCAGCCATACCCAGGGGGGTTTCTCACCTGTTGCGGGTGGCCTGAAGGAGGACAGGAAGTGGAGGAGAAGTTCAAGCTGGAAACTCTTGACACGACTAGTTACTAGCGCGAAGTTGTGTGTTGTTGTAACTATGTTACAAGTCACATGACCATCTGACGTCGGGCTTTGAGCTTCAAGGAAATAAGCATTTTTTTTCTGGGATTGCAAAGAGATTTATTGTATCCAAGTTTTACCATTACAATTCAAAATGAGCGTTTGTAAGTCAGGCGATGGATTATCGGTTTTATGAGCAGCAGTCAGGACCAGGTTCACCATTCCGGAGAAGACTACGAATAGAGTAGCTCCGGAGGCTCTTCATCAGAGGAAGAGCCGAGCATTTTAACAGGACGAAAACAACGACCCCGGGAACAATGTCAGCTTGGATTCAAAGGCAGACAAACTCGCCCTATGTGCAGTTGGTGGGTGCATCTGTTCTGTCCGGTGCAGCTGTTGCTGGTGCCATCCTTGGTTATCAGTCAGTGAAGAGGCAGGCGGCGGTGCAGAAACTGAAAGCGTCCATCCCAGACCTTGACGAACAACATATGACACAGAAGGTTTGAGTTCCTATATGGCAGTTTGACCAGGGAATGGCAGGGAATGGTCCCGGTGCCCTGCTTGCTCTTAAAATATCTGGCATATCGGTTTTTGATACCTGACTGACTGGTCTAAATGAAGCTTACAGAATTCGGGCTAGCAACCCCTCCGAAGCTCAGTAAAGAAGATGCTCGAAGTGCCGCTCTCGCTCGTAGAGCCCAAACAGGAGACTATGATGATGGTATGCTGTTTTCCTTGCTTTTCTTTTCTTTTGACTTTTGGCTCACATACATACAAATCGCATGCTAATCCCACTTTTGACGCAATTGTAGGTCTAATCCTAGAACAACTTGCCCGAAATCGGGTCTTTCTCACCGACGAAGGTCTATCAAAGCTGCGATCTTCCTTTGTAATCATTGTGGGATGTGGTGGGGTTGGCTCTCATGCAGCCGCTGCTCTGGCACGCTCCGGAGTGTCCCGGATCCGTCTGATAGACTTTGATCAGGTCACCCTGTCATCATTAAATCGACATGCCGTTGCAACCCTTTCAGATGTCGGCACGCCAAAAGTTCAATGTATCCGGACCAGGCTGGAGCAGATAGTGCCCTGGGTGCGGTTTGACTGCCGGGATGAACTGTATAGTGAAGCAGCCGCAGATGCTCTACTACGTCCTTGGAATATGCAAGGCGACAAAGAGACACGGAAGCCAGACTTTGTTCTGGACTGTATTGATAATATTTCGTCCAAGGTCTCTCTCCTTCACTACTGCCATTCACACAATATCCCCGTCATTTCTTCCATGGGCGCTGGGTGTAAATCCGATCCCACTCGCATTACAATAGGTGATATCTCTTTGAGCGCTGAAGATCCTCTCTCCCGAAGTACACGGCGTCGATTGAAGGCCCTCGGAGTCAGCTCTGGAATCCCAGTAGTTTTCTCTACCGAAAAACCCGGACCTGGAAAGGCTTCGCTACTCCCGCTGGCTGAGGAAGAATTTGCAAAGGGTGAGGTTGGGGAGCTCGGAGTTCTCCCCGATTTTCGTGTGCGGATCCTTCCCGTCATCGGCACAATGCCAGCTGTGTTTGGATATACCCTCGCCAACCACGCCATCTGCGAAATATCTGGATACCCCAACGAGTACAACGCGGGTGCCAAAGGCCGAGAAAAAATGTATGACAGCATCTTGGGGGCGCTACAGGGGATGGAAGAACGCTTAGCGAAATCCGATACTGGGCAAGACCCAGTCGGATTACGGATACCCATTAACAAAGATGATATCGCCTACCTGATCGAAGAAGTGTGGAGGGGAAAGAGCGTCGTAACCGGTTTGGCTACGCGGCTGATGTTGGTGCGTTGGAAGCGGCCGGAGCATGGGTTTGGACCTGATCCGCTCTGGGAAAAGGAAGGGCAAAGGGGAGCGCGGCTGGACCTGAAAGACCTGGTTTGTATGACCAAGGAGGAGGCACTGCGGCATGAGCGGGAGGTCCTAAAGGGCGGTAAGGCCGTCGAAGACATGTATGATGAGAAACTAATTCGGAAGGTGGAGGAGCGGATACGTGAGCAGGAGGTTTATGAAAAGTATAGATAGATGAACGAATGAATGAATTGTATAGAATATGAAGAGAATTCTGAATGTTCTTATGTATTTTGCGCATGTAGTGATTAAACATTATAGGAGAGTCTGCAACTCTCAGTAGCATGCGAAATCGGGTATAGTCGATAGCAGAGAAAATAATCAAGCTTCGTTAACTACATATACTTTTCTCCGGTAGAGCTACTAGTGCGCTGGTGGTGATTGAGCTCTTTTGCCCCAGTAGCTTACAGATTATGAGACTGTTTAGCATGAGCCCTGCTGTGGTCAACATGCATGAGTTCAATCCCAGGATGGACTTAAGAATTAAAAATCCCAACAATATCCCAGACATTAACAGTGCCAAGAGACACTCTAGAAGTGTGTCCTTGAAGTGAGCTCTAGAAGTGAGTTCAGAAAAAAAGACTGCTGAGAGAAGCCACTGAGAGAAGTCACTGAGAGAAGTAGTGCTCTGTGATAGCTGGTCTGAGAGGGGGTGTTGAAGGTCCTGAGTTGATTCAGCTCTTCTACCAGCAGTGTGCTGGTGATGATTGAGCTCTTTTGCCCCAGTAGCCTACATTTTGCATGGAAAAGTTGGTTTTTCTATCTCTTAGAGGATAACGTTGTCATGTATAATCTATCTTAGGGTGAAACTACGGAGTACAGCGTATGTTTGATGTCAATTCTCAAGATAGAGCGAATGATGGGGAGAATAATGCTATATATAGCTCTAAGTGCCACTAAGTGGGCATATACATGAACTTATTTTTGTGGTCGGCTAGAATCTGCTTGGCAAATGCGCGGTGGGTTGCTGGCTGGTATCTCGGCATGCTCAGCCTCTCTTCTTCGATATTTTTGGGTTAGTGCGACCAACTAAACTCCTTTAGACTTCTGCCAAGTTCCGCTAACTTCTGGACCAATCATAGACTTCACCCGTGCTCGCAACTCCGTGAAGATTTTGCTGGGGATGTCCTATTTAGATTTAGTGTAAGTCCTCTGGCAGTTGATTGGCAGTAGTTCGGATCTGGTTAGCTCGGGATGTGGAGTGGCTGAGTTTACTGAGTGTACAGATTTTACTGTGAAACCCTCCCCTTTTAGCTAGGATTAATATAGTTTATGGTTGGATAGTTAGTATACAAAATATTAATGAGAATTTGAGAAAGAATCATGTCAAGGCGGATCAATTAGGGCGTTTCAATACTAAATGGTGATTAGGCTAAACTATATTAAGCCTAATGCAAAAGGGGAGTTGTTTCAAAACTTTTGTTGATTGATAAACTACTCAAATCGCTTCCCCTGAACGGAGGAGACTAAAACGTTTATTTACCTCTACGTCATAATAAACTCAGGCGGGCTAAAACCAGACACGTGACTGAACTGTGAAGCCAATGGGGATATCTCAATGGCTCAAGTCTCTCCTCAACATACAGCCAGAAGCTGTCCACCGATCCAGCCATGAAACCGTCGACAAGAATAAGCCTGCTTATGACGATATAACAAGTGACGACGAAACGCCGCCTGCCGAAACCCATTTGCGAGCGGAGTCTCCTTGGCGTGACGCTATATCTGGCGGCGGGAGCGGTAGACTCCGAAACTTGACTGGGCGGAATGCCCCTTAATTCCTCTTCTTCCTACCCACGACAACCACAGCGTCCTCTCGTCGATGATATGAGGAATGGCTGGATGGCCACAGAACAAAAATACAGCAAGTTGGGCCCAAATATGAAGGCCGACGGCTCTAAAAGGTTCCCTGCCTGCATGAAGGGCCTCTTCACTCTTTTCAGTGCTCCGCGATTCCGTCGTTACATCATCGTGTATGTTATTCTCGTGTGGATATTTCTGGGTAGCTGGGTTAGGTTGATTTCTCCTCGCTTAAAGGAGCATGAGGAGCTATCAAGAGCGCTAGACGTGAATGCCAGAGACAGTACTTTGGGCTGGTTTGGGTCTAATGCCCTGCCCAAATTTGACGACCTGGTATATCTGAGATTGTTGGACCCTGCGCTGCGACCCAGCGAGAATGCGGATAGCGCTCAAAAAAGACGACTTATTGTGATAGGCGATGTCCATGGCTGTTTGGATGAATGTGAGTTCCCTCAAGTGTTATATCTGAAAAAAATGGAAAAAAAATGAAGAAAAATAAAAATGAAGAAAGAACAAAGAACTAGCTACTTTAAGTAAATTTTTGATGTGGCTCTAACCTTACCTATCCCTTTCTTCCTATGTGTAGTGGAATCCCTTCTACAAAAAGCCGAATTTGACCCCAAGAACGGAGACCATTTGATCTTCACTGGCAACCTGATAGCGAAGGGCCCCAAGAGCACGGGAGTAGTTGATCTCGCTCGCAAATACCGGGCCTCCTGTGTCCGAGGAAATCATGAAGATCGTGTCCTTCTTACCCGGCGCGATATCAAGGCTACAGGTCCGTCTAGAAATGAGCGTTCCTCTAACAATGACGACATAGAACCTGGTAATAGGGAACGGGCTCTTGCGAGAGAATTGAGCGACGAGCAAGCGGGTTGGTTGGATGCATGCCCTGTGATCTTGAAAGTGGGATCGATAAAAGGCATGGGAGAGGTGGTGGTCGTGCATGGTGGCCTAGTGGCAGGCGTTGAGTTAGAGAGCCAAGATCCCTCAACCGTCATGAGTATGCGAACTATTGATCTTTCAAGCCATATTCCCAGCGCGTCATCGAAGGGCGTCTCTTGGACAAAGGTGCGTCTCAATCCAGGCTGAAAATGTCCTGGCGCATACTATCCTACGTTGTGTTCTCCTACAAAGAGTTGACTAACAATTATCCCAATCTCCTAGCTCTTCAATAAACATCAAAGCATTTTAGCAGTATCTCGAGAATCTGCATCGGCAGGAGAGAAGGACCGGTATTCACCTTCAACAACCGTGATATACGGAAATGATCCGCGCCGTTCTCCTGCCCTGGAGAAGTATACCAAGGGTTTGGACACAGGTTGCGTCAAGGGAGGGAAACTTTCCGCAATGATCATTGGGGATGGCGGCATTACCCGCATTGAGAGCGTAAAGTGCAAGGATTATACGATGAAGAGGACCGCGAAGCGCTGAGCATCATTGGTGACTAATTTTCCAACACCCCTTTCTTGGAGCTGGCTGAATTTTTGTTTCCTTTTTTTCTCTTTTTTCCCCCCCGATACTCGGTCGTTTTGGTGTCCGGTTTTGATTCTTCACTTCTATATTCCAAGTTTTTTTGTTTTGTTTTGTTTTGTTTTGTTTTGTTTTGTTTTGTTTTCGAAGTGTAATTAGAGGGCGCCTTTTACTTTTTTCTTTTATCAGTTTTTGTAAAATAGAATTACCTATACCGTTGGATACTTCTCATGCGACATGTTCCAGATATCAGCCATGCCTTCCCCCCATAGATCATTTTATTTTCTCTTCTCGAAACTAACTTACCTGCCTATACTTGCATCATTCTCACTTGACACACACTTCCTTTGCCAACCAACATCTGGCGGCGTATACGTGTGTGTTTCTTTTGTCCTGGCTCTTTATCAGGGTGTCTTCTGGCGGCGATCCTGTTGCCATTAAATCCTGCTGCTTAGAATGCATAGCTGATGCATATTCTAAGGGTCAATGGATGCTTTGCCATTCGCAAAATGATAAATTGTAACAATCAGTTCTTCTTCAGAAAAGCCCTGTGGCGGATGGATGGGTAGAACCCAAGGCGCGACTGGCTGTGGCTCGATAGGCCTATGTGATACACAGTTTCGCGCGGCCGCAAGTATACGAGCATGGAAGCGAGACAGGAAGGGGTGTGCAAACCTGTTGGCACAATTGGGACTGTAATCTCCAACCTTGTTTCCGGGAATAGGTCTGCCCGAGCGGGAGCGGCGGAATAGCGAGAATCAGCTGTAAGGCGACCTAGAAATAAGTGTTTCATCTTGTGTTTGTACTGTACATGCCAAGGGTAAAAGTTGTACACATTTTCATCCCTGTCCATTCCATCCCCTGCATCCCTTAGGTAGTATATTGTTACCGGTTTGTTTGAGCACATTAGGAAGTATCCGCCCAAGGTTTTCTGGATGTTTGCTCTACACGGCTCAGTGCGTTGAGATTCCGAAACTCCTTGTGTGTGCCGAGGTATGGTATGCATAGATGGCCTGTTGTTACCGCGCAGTGCACACAGAGAAAAGAAACTTATTCTTACCCAGCGTTGGTACATTCCATAGGACTAGCGGAGTTTTGTACGGACACACGCCGAAATAGAGATATCGGTAACTTAAGCGGGACGACCCGTCCGGATGCAAGAACCACCAACCTTATCAAACGACAACGATGCTTCTTATTTTCATTTTTATTTATTTATTTATTTACTATACATTTTCCTCCAATAATGTACCTAGAGCAATGTTGACTGTAGTTTTCATTCCTGCAAGTTTAGATTTAAGGATCAATGAACAACGAAAATTGTATTTACATTTGAGATTATTATAGTCCATGTAGATGTAGAAACAATTGAATTAAGCCAGCTTCCTTACGGGTCAAACTGGGTTGGGAGAATAGAACTGATTGATACTGTCAAAGGGTATGAACCTGGAAGGCCAGCAATATTTAAGACGAGAATAGGAAGGTGGTCGTGTAAAAGGGCGTGGGGGTATACATATTAGATAAATAATGATAAGATAGATGGACATTAATCATGACGACGCAAGGGGGTAGTGTCGCTTCGGTAGGGTGGGTATATATATATCCATTACACAGCATTCAACATAAATGGGGAAAATTGGCAGTAAGAAAGATAGAGATTGGTTCGGGAAAGAGGGAGGAAAGGACTGGATATAGGCGGCAAATGGCGATACAGGTAAGAAATTCCAGATCAGTTACGTTAAGGAAAACATAAGTCAATCATATTGACTCGACTCCGGGGTTGCTTAAGTAGATTTTGATCAGTTTCCGTTGCGGCTTGTCTAGGAAATCCAAGTTATCGGATTAGACAGCATGACGGCGACCCCAGAAACCGCGGCGGCTATCATCATATAAGTTCTTAGTACTGGCACAAATATTTAACTGAGAAAGAAGGGATTGAGAGGAGAAGGCGGAACTTTTTGGCCAGGAACTGGAAATTACAAAAGAAATACTTACGTTCTAAGCCCATCGCCAGCTATGGGGCGACGGTCACGAGTACGGCGAGTAAACCATACACCCTGAAAAAGATTACGTCTTAGTATCGGATTGTGAAGCGGACTAGGGAGTGTACGAAGGAAGGGTAGGTAGAAGAAGAATGAATCACATACCACAATCGCAGAAACCAGCCACAGAATCGCTGAGATGAAACTGAATGCCTCCACAGCTTTCCAACGATCGCACACGCCGCCGTCGGTAATGTGGCCCCAATCGAAGGTTCCGCCGCAGTTCATCTTGTTGAGGGCGTTCACAAGAATACCAAAGGCGGCAAACCAGGCAAATGATACGAGAAGGTCCCCTATTTTAGTTTATTAGCGGAAGCTATCACCAGACGTAGATAGTTCGAGAGTACGGAATTATATATGTTACTATACATACCTATCCACAACGTAAACGATTCAGAGAAGGGTATGAGCCAAATTATACCGAGCAGGATTGATATTCCTGCTACTACGATAGTATAAATCCACCGAGCGTTCGGAAAGGAATCGGCGTCATCAAAGTGAGCTAGGTCGTTACCGATGATGCCGGCTACAACCTAAATTTGTATAGGACTTGTTAACCAAGTAAATTCACGGGATGGATAGAATTAGACGTTAGAATTTATGAATATAACGGAATCACTTACCGCCGCGCAGCCAATCTCTCCAATACGGAGGATGATCGAAATCAGTCGAGAGAAGACAGGCATTGTAGTTAATAGCGTATTGTTGCCTTATCTCTATTGAGCAAAAGCGCTTTATTGGCGTCGCTTGCAATGGAATGCCTGAGCTGATACGGTTGATCAGTGTATCCTTCCGGCCACTTGAAGCTGCACCTGATGATTAATATACAACTGAAGTAAGATTAAAGTGAAAGGATTTGAAATTTATTTGAAATTTCTCAATAACAGAAAGAGTACAAAAATATATAAACAGTGAGAAAAATTCCCATGAGGCTGAATTATATCAGCAGAAAAAGTAACAAAAACTGCAATGCTAGTTCATCAAAGTGCACATGTGACACAACAGTGCTGTCAAATAGGCTGGATAGGGGAATGCAACAAATAATAATACAGGGCAAGAGTAAGAAATTAGTTGTTCCGATATGTTTCTGCAGAATCAGCTGCTATGACGAATGCTACGATGACGTAGCTGCTGTGGCTTGCCAACGATGTGGCACTAGTCTTTGTCATACAGCAAGGCAGAGAGACAGACGTCTGTCAGGTCAATATTTGCGCGACCAATCGTAAGAACATTTGGGTGTTCCCAGATGTGGGGTTTGGCCGTTGGTCGTGTTCCAAGGTTGGAAAGAATTCAAGTTCAAAGCAGAATGAGGGACACGCTAGCCCCGCTATGCACTGTAGGTTGAACAATCAAAAGTCCAAGATCCAGCCGCTCTGAACTCTCTCCATAGAGAAGAATTTGGCGTGGCGAAGTCGGGCTCTGACTCATTTGGTCAATTGGCCTAATGGCCGCAGCAAACACATGCCAACGTCTTTGGATGGAGGTTGACTGCATCTTATCTTCCATCATGAATTCTTCCCTGCAACCGCAATTATCCTTGTGAGCATGAAATCAAGTAACCCCACGCTGGTATCTTACATGGACATGAACAAGCAATTTTCCTTTGCCTGGTTCGTTCATCTCTGGATGTTCCGATGAGAGTGGGTGCTATTATCATGTCGACCAACCTGTTCGGATACAGTTGATACCTGGCACCTGGCCGGTAGCTTAGCCTAGGGGCTTCTTTGCCTTGTGCTAACCTGATAGGAAATATGAGGTAGAGCTGGTTCTCTCCCAGCTTCACCAAGATGTGGAGTTTCTCCGAAGTTTCTAGACTTGATATTGGGTTGTATCACTTGTTGTACAGAGTATGAATATAGAACAGGCAACAACGGCGCCAACCTGCCATCCCGCCTAAACCCAGCTTGGTTAGTGCAGTCCAATATGTGGTTAGTCAGCCGCGCACAGCTTGTCCGTTGGTGACAGCCGAGCACGGACCATCGCGTCTGCCTCGAAGGGGAAATATTATTGTTGGAGATCTATCTCAGCATCCAGCGCGCTTGGATCACGGAACGAGGGCAGGGAATGTTTGCGTCACAAGAGATGTGTGAGATATTCATTGCATTTTGTTCCTTCTATAACAATATTTCGAAGTAGCTAGCGCCTTTCTTCGCCTTTCTTTATTTCCAAGGCCCCTCAATTCTTTCTTTCTTTTCTTCCTTCTTGAAACACTGTCCTGACGGGCTGTTCGCGCACTACGCCGCGCTTTTGCCATTTGACCAGGGGTTTTGCAGCCGCCCGTTTTTGACAACCCACCATTGAGCTATTTGCGAAAAGCAATAATGTTGTCTGAGGATTACCCAAGTCGTAGTGGTAACCCCGCGTTCCCAACCGTGGGATCCTCCGACGAAGCCACGCCCTCGGCGTCCCCTTCTTTTTCCTCAGACAAAGAGAATCGAACTTCGGCCAGGCGGTCAGACAAAAGGAAAACCGGCCATCTAGCATCCAAGGCGACACAGCTCTCTCAAGCAATGACGGACGCGCCGAATAAGAGACGAAGGCTGTCAAAAAAAGGAGTCTCAGATCGCCAAAGCCAGGCTCCACCCCGACCGCCACGACATGTCCAAGATTCCGATCTATATGACCCGGACCAGGACCCAGAGGAACGCAGGAAGATTAGAAAAGGGTTTAGAGACCTTGTGACGAATCTGAACGGTGCGACGCGTCTCTAGTTTGCGTGCTTGGATTAGTTTGCGTGAGTTTTTACTAATTCATTTTTACATAGATTCTCGCGCGGAATACCTCCAACCGGGTTCTGATGGTATCCGCACCACGCTAGATAAAGCAAATGAGCTATACAAATCCGTGAAACAAACCTCAGACGCCACCATAGATTCTCGACTGCTCGTGTCGGCGGCCGATCTGTCATATAGACGCACTGCAAAAGCGGTTTTAGGCGATGGCGAGACTGGTATTGACGTGGACGAGTTTGTGTCCAAATGTATTTCATTCATGCGCCAAGGACCCAGGGGGGAGGAGCCTTCGTTCTCCAGCACCCAGAGACGACGCCGTCGCGTTACGGGCAACGATCCCACGGAGGAAGACAGCGACGAAGAAGAAGGGGATCCCCTTAATTGGGACTGGCTTGGTAGGAAAGCCTGCTTCCCCCATAACATACGCCCGTCTCTTTCTGGATTTTTACTCGGTCCTCTATCAGTACAGAAACGGTTTCGACAACAGACTCAAAGAAGGGCAAGGCAAGAGCGGTTGGACCCTTCCCAGCTTAACAGGCCTAACGATCTTGAAGCGGCAGACATCGACACGCAGGAGGTGTCGAACTTGACTGCCATGTGCACTGATATTAGAGAGCTTCTGGTAAAAACCCAGTCGCATGGCGAGGCGCTTGTCAACGAAGAACTCTGCAAAATGGGATCGGACGTTTCGGAGGACGTCGTCCAGGAGGTGATGGGTAAACATGCGATTTCAGATGATGGCGGCGTACCATTATTCCGATTCTGCATAAATCCAAAATCCTTCGGGCAGACGGTTGAGAATCTCTTCTATATCAGCTTCTTGGTTCGTGACGGCAGTGTGGGTATATCGCTTGATAGCAATCGACTCCCTACTCTGCGTAAGTGAAACCTGGCTCTTTGCCAATTACAACATAGTTGCCCATCCTCTAGAGAGACAGCTAACTTTCCCCCCCTCTCTAGTCCCCTCTCAGCCTGCTGCACCGTCTGAAGCGCAGGCTAAGAAGCTGAAAAAGCATCAAACCGTTTTCAGCCTTGATTTCGAGACATGGGAAAATCTAATCGAAGTGTTCGATATCCGGGAGCCCTTGATTCCGCATCGAATTGACGAGGCAACGGAATCGGAAAATACAGAAAGGACTTCTGGATGGCATGGCTAGAAGCGAAATCGTGCCAATTTGCGTCGCAGAATATACCCAGTCCCTCCCCATTTTCGTATTGATATTCAGTGTTTTCTGCAACTTTTGATTTATTTATTCCCCCCCTCCCCACCCCCCCAATCTATTCTTCACTTGATTCCCGCTTTGCAACTTATATTTCTCTTTGTGTCACATTTCTTGGCACATTCTTACTAGCCTCCATCTTTTTTAATTAATTTATTCACGCTCTGCAATGTGCATTATTATGGAAGCTCTGAAACTTACATGCACATTTTTTGTTATGTTTACTGAGGCTGCCCGTATTTTATCTTGGGTTCTGATGTTGGGATGCACCTTTAATTCTTCACATGCGCGCGACAATCCGAACATGTAGAATAAAAGCTACTTGACCCCTGGAGACCATCGTTTTGGACACCAATTCAACTGGTTACGTTAATAAGCTAGAATTAATAAGTACTCCGTACTCCGTGCAGGTAAACTTGTTGGGGGTCCCGCGGTTGATCGGCCCTTCTACCAGCAGTGCGCTGGTGGTGATTGAGCTCTTTTGCCCCAGTAGCCTACAAAACTTCCTCGGCAACTACACAGATTGTTTACCTACGTCATCGAGATTGTTCAGGGCTGACAAACCGGGAAGATTGTCTGCTCCCGCCTGCAACCGGCATCTTCCCAGACGCGTTCACGGCTTGCTTTGAAATAGCTATTTAATACCTGTGAACCCTATGATGGTTTGCTCTTGGCAGCCTCCTTAACGTCGAACTTCGGGGTTGTTTGATTAATGTCCTACCTCAGGCCAACTACGCTCCCCAGTACAACTGCCAGCGCCGCCACCACATATTTCCTGCACAGTGGCATTGTTCAATTCTCTTCATATCACTCTACATTAATCTGTTCAGAGTCTGGTTTGTTGATTAGACGTTGTTTCCATCAGTATAACCTCCTAGCGAAAACGAGTCCACTCCCTAGTAATGACAACTTTGTTGCTCAAGTGATACATCACCCTGAAAATTTCCGCCAGATCGTCGATTTCCGTCGCCCGTTTGCCAAACAATTAGCATCTGGGTCTTTTCTTTTTAGCACGATGACTTCAAAATTGGTTCCTCCGCGTCCAGAGGATGTCATGGTAATACGGAAAATCCAGCCTGATATCGTCACTTTGAATGTTCCTTTCTACCGATTTGGATACGTAAGAATCGGTGGACGGTGTACGATTGGTATGAAGCACTTCGTAGATGGCAATGGATGACGTAAATAGTGTTCGACACCTGCTAACGGAATCACTGCAGTCCGTCTACAGAGCGGCTCTCTAGCTGTATTCTCACCAGTCTCTCTTACCCCAGATGCCCGAGAGGCGGTAAATTCCCTAGGCGGCAACGTCAAATATATTATTGCGCCGGACATGGAACATCACATATTCGTCACACCTTGGAAAGGAGCTTATCCAAACGCCCAGATCATCGCACCGGAGGGCCTGAAGGAAAAACGCGAGGAGAACCCAGAAACAAAGGGTATTGGATTCGATCACATCTTCACCGCAGCCAACAAAAGAACTCTCAGAATATCAAATGAGTTCCACGCCGACTTTGATGTCGAATATGTCAATTCGCACCCTAGCCGTGAAATAGTCTTGCTACACAAGCCCTCCAAGACCCTCATCGAATCAGATTTGCTCTTCAACCTTCCTGCCACCGAGCAATTTTCGAAATCTGGAGAGTCGGCCACACAGGGGATACTCACAAAGATATTTAATGCTATTCAAACAACAAAGCCACCCGCGATGGGTCAAAAGCGGTTTATCTGGTATCTCTTATCAGCGAAAGATCGCAAGGGTTTTGCGCAGTCAGCAGCTACTATTGAGGGGTGGGATTTCGATCGGATAATTCCGTGTCATGGAGATGTCATTGAAAGCGGAGGCAAGGAGATATTCCGTAATTTGTTTGAGTGGAATTTGGAGGCGGCGAAGAAGCAGATGTAAATGTAAAAAAAGGCTGTCTTGTCTGTACTTAGTAGTTAAAAGTTTCGATTTCATAAGAGGAAATTGGAATATGAATCTGTGTTTTCTATCCTTTGTATGTATATACAATATTTACAGATGGCATGGGAAGTTGGCATGCGCATTTGATAGTTGCTATTATTGCTGTTTGAGCCCCCAGCTTAAATAGCCGTAACTAGCGGTAAAATATTTAGCTACCGGCGAGCCCTAAGCTGCATCACGTGGGCGCCTGACGTAGCTCACAACTTGCGAGCCTTATATCAAGACAGCGGTTGCGAAGATGGGGAACAACGTCATATGAGAATAACGAGAGAACCAAGCGGTTCTAGTGGCCGAGAAAGTCGACCCGTCAGGATGGACACTTACACCTTCGCAACCTCCGCGCAGGTTGACCTACCAATCTATCTGAAGATGTAAGTGCAGCTCAAGAACAGACATCTTCGGCAGCTGCCTTTAGTTCGCAATAACTAACTGTCTTCTTTAGATGCAGTTTGGAAGGCAAACAAAAACAGATACCTTTTTCCGTCTTAATTAAAAACCCTGAGCTTCGACACCTCGGATCGAACCAGAGCCCGATATCAGACCTTTACATTACCGTCCAACTATGGGCTAGTTCTAAACCTCTAGGTGTTCCCGTCCAGACGGCATATAAAGCATTTAAGACAACCCGAACATGGAATGAATGGCTTACAATGCCCGTATGTATAAAAGATGCACCGGTCAATAGCCAGCTGGCCATCACCGTTTGGGATCTGTCACCATTGGGCGGAAACGATGCTTACGGCCATTCTGTCCCTTTTGGTGGAACCACCATATCATTATTCGATGACGATGGTACTCTGAAAAAGGGCAGACAGAAGTGCAAAATCTACCGGCACAAGGCCGCGGATGGGCTTTCGAATACCACGACACCGTCCGCCCCGCCGCAAAAGCGCCGTTTATCTCCTCATATAGACCATGGCCCGACCCCGGAAGAAGAGGAGTTAGAGCGTCTGGAAAAACTCCTGAAGAAACATGAGATGGGCGAGATACCCCGAGTTGACTGGTTAGATCAGCTAGTATTTCGAGCTGTGGAAAAGAAAAAGTTGGAGGCTGAGGAATCTGCGAAAAAAAGGGCAATACGCAACCAAGCCGTTAGGGCAAAAGTTGCAGTGAAGACAAATGGAATGACAGACAACCTTGGTGATGATGATGAGGAGGAAGATGAGATAAATGATCACGAAGAGAACTTTGTCCTCTATATCGAATTCCCACGCTTTGATTTTCCTGTCGTTTTCGAAGATTTCGAGTATCCTCGTCCGCCGATATCCTCCTACTCTCAACAGCCTTTGTCGGGCTCTAATTCCACACTCAAATCACCACCAGAAGTCCGTTTGGGACCCGATATAGATGGCGCGGGTAACGACGATGATGACCATCGGATAATTCGAATATATGACCCCGAGGTTGGCCAGAAAGGGAACCCTTGCGAGGACAAACATCGGAGACTAGTTCGTAGCCACCGGACTGGAATTATGGATCGCGATCTCAAGCCAAATCCAAAGATCCGTGATGAATTGAATGAAATCATGTTATATGGACCTACGCAAGAACTGAACTCTGAGGAGAAAGACCTTGTCTGGAAGTTCCGGCATCATCTTACTCGTGATAAGAGAGCCCTGACTAAGTTCGTGAAATCGGTCAATTGGCAAGATGTTAGCGAAGCTCGACAGGCCGTGGAAATTCTCCCCAAGTGGACTGAGATAGATGTGGACGATGCGTTGGAACTTCTTGGGCCCACTTTTGATAACCCAGCTGTACGCGCGTATGCGGTAGACCGACTGAGGAAGTCTGATGATGAGGAATTGCTCCTATACCTCTTGCAACTAGTACAAGCCTTAAAGTTTGAGGCAATCCCTGCCGAAGTCGCTGAAGATATAACACAAGATTCCTCATTAACCAACTTTCTCATCACGCGAGCTGCGAACAATCCGCTACTTGGAAGCTATTTTCACTGGTACCTCATGGTCGAGTGTGATGATGCAGGCCCAAGCACTATTTCCGCCCATCGCAAACTGTTCGCCCGCGTTGAGTACTACTTCATGGTCGAGCTGGAGAAACACCATCCTGAACAGAGGAAAATTTTATTACGACAGGGCGAACTCATTACAATTCTGACCAAGATCGCGAAGGATATTCGCTTCTCGAGGGTTAACCGTGCTGTCAAAATCGAAAAGCTGAAGAAGTTTCTGCTAGACCCTAAGAACGAGCTTACTACCATTGACCCTCCTCTTCCGCTTCCGCTGGACCCGGAAATTCTGATCACAGGGTGCTTCGCTGAGGGTTCTAATGTTTTCAAATCCTCCCTCTCACCCTTGCTTATCAACTTCAAACTTTCTGATGGACGAAAATACCCTGTAATTTTCAAGGTTGGAGATGACCTTCGACAAGATCAGCTTGTCATCCAAATCATCAGTCTCATGGATCGGCTTTTGCAGAAGGAAAATTTAGATCTGAAACTCACTCCTTACCGGATAATTGCTACCGGCGCTAATGCCGGTGCGATGCAATTTATCCCCTCAACATCCTTATCAGCAGCGTCGGCAAAATACAAGGGCTCGATACTTGCATATTTGAGAGCCAACAATCCTGATGACAACGAGCCACTAGGTGTCCGCAAAGAAACGATGGATACGTACATAAAATCTTGCGCTGGCTATTGCGTGATAACTTACCTCCTAGGTGTAGGCGATAGGCATTTAGACAACCTATTGATTGCACCAGACGGCCATTTCTTCCACGCAGATTTTGGCTTCATTCTCGGCCGTGACCCGAAACCTTTTGCCCCGATGATGAAACTCTGCAAAGAAATGGTGGAAGGCATGGGTGGAGCGTCGTCGCCCAACTATCTCCTATTTAAACAATATTGTTTTACAGCATATACCACCCTTCGGAAATCCGCGAACCTCATCCTCAACCTTTTCAGCTTGATGGTCGATGCAAATATTCCAGATATCCGCGTCGAGCCGGACAAGGCTGTACTGAAGGTGAAGGAGAGGTTCCACTTGGAAATGAGTGAAGAGGAGGCAATTCGCCACTTTGAGCAGCTCATTGGTGATAGCGTGAATGCTATTTTTGGAGTTGTCATTGACCGTCTTCATGATTTCGTGCAGGGATGGAGGGCATAGTTTTAAACAAAGCGCTCATACTTCCGCATAAGCAGCCCGCATGCAAAACTTTAGATCAATGATACAGATCCATACTTGACCCGCGTTGTTGGCCCTTTTCGAAATACTAGTTTGGTGAAAACGGATGCTGGGGAGTTTTGGGGATGTTTGGCGTGTTCTTGTTCAGGTACATACATGTATTACATTGCAAATACTTAGAATATACCCTGGTAACGGGATAACTGGATAATATATTTTGGGTTTACATACGATTTTCATATAGTTATACATATCGAGTACAGAGTACAGATGTAGAGTTCCCAACTGTTTGGTCCGTTGTATATTTATAATTACGTTGGCCCTCATCACCGACAAATTTCCATCAAATATTGCTTGTTTACCAGGCCCTGCCATCCCCCTGAGAATACCATTAATCTTCCATCCCGGACGTTTTCCCTCTCCAGAACTTAAGTAGTTAATTCCTCCCCGCAGTCTCGAGCAAAAATGGGTCATAACGGAATGGAGTTGTTGGAGAACACATACTAGTGTTTTTTTTAAATGAAAATGAAAATTATTATGATATAGACTTTTTTCGCGCTTGGATAGGGTTGTCTGTCGCAGTGCTCTGGAGTTAACCGTGGTCCGAAAACCGGGATCGGCTTCGAATTTCCTCGTCGCAACGGCATATCTTCCGCCAAGACCACGTGATTCGAAACCTACCTAGGTATTGTAGCTAGTTTTTCACCCTATCGCAAAAGACGATGCAATATTGGTTGCAATCAAGTCATTGATCTTCCACCTTCGTTCCCCTACATCCAGGGAGCGTGTCTATACTTACCATGTGAATCTACCTCTTACTCCTTGCAACTTTCGCCTTTGTCTGTTCTCCTTGGCAGAATGGCCGCGATAGCCTCCACTTTTGTGCCACGCGCGGCGTTCCCGAAAATTGACAGCATTCCGCGCACATATTTCTTGGGCCATCATAGAGCTGGACTTGAGAAAATGAAAAAGATGCTGTCATCGATCGATCATGTTATTGAATGTAGAGACTTTCGAATTCCTGCCACATCAATCAACCCTGTGTTCGAGGAAGCTTTGGGTGAGAAACCTAGGTGGATCATATATACCAAGCGGGACCTTGGAGGCGATCTCAAGCTAGCGAACCAGCGCGTGAGTACCAGCCCTTAGACATATAGTTGCTTCCTCTCCACGAGAACCTATTATACTAATGTTGGGTTGTGTCTACCTAGAAAGAGAAGATGATACAACGATGGCATAAGTCCTCAAAAACCTTCTTTACCAACCGTTTCGACACGAATACTATCGTCCCGATCGTCAAAGCGATTAAAAGGCAACCTTTTAACTTAGATAAGCTCACAGGTGCTCGAATCCTGGTTGTTGGAATGCCGAATGTTGGAAAATCAAGCCTGATAAACGCCCTCCGAAATTTTGTCATGAAAAAGGGAAAAGCAGCCAAGACCGGCGCGGATCCTGGCGTGACGAGGAAAGTCGGCACCGGTATTAAAATTCTCGAGAGGGCTCGGGGTTCAGTCTATTTACACGACACACCTGGAGTCTTTGTGCCATACATGCCAGATTCGGAAAGCATGCTGAAGCTTGCGCTTTGTGGTTGTGTGAAACACACTATTATCCCAACCATCACGCTGGCTGACTATTTGCTTTACCAAATAAATCTCCACAAACCAAGACTATATGGGAAATACACGGAACCAACGAATGATATAATACATTTCTTGAAGTCATTTGGTGCTAAAGCAGGATGTTTCGCCAAAGGTGGAACCATAGACCTCGAGGGCGCTGCTAGAAAGATGATTCACATGTATCGAGAGGGAAAATTTGGAGCTTTTATCATGGACAATTTACAGGAGACGACGTTGAACATACAGCAAGAGCGATTGGCAGCTATGGGCGGAAGCATTAACCAGGCTAAGAAGGCAGAGAAACAGGACAAGAGGGAAGAACATATGGAGAACGTGGAGACAGTTTGAATGCCAGAATCCCATTCACACGATTGTTCTAGATGAACCTTGTACATTATGTAATTATAGATAGGCAGAATGCAGTTAACGAATAGAATAATATATGAGCATGCAGAACGACATTAAAAGGCTAACAATCATGAAAAACGCCAACCGGCTAGAAATGACATCCCATCATAATATCATAATATCAAAGAATTTTGTCAAGAAGCCTCCGCCGTCGTCTATCCACCAACTCCTCCTGGACCTCCTCGAGAGTAGGCAACCTCCACCCGATGCCATCCCCACCATCTCCAGGAAGTGGTTCCCACCCATCCGCTGCCTCGTCCTCTCCTCTCCTCAGGATGTTCTCGAAGGCTTCTTTTTCCTTTTTGGATTCGTACTCCAACAGAGACCCATCTTCCTCATCCAAGCCATATCCAAAATACGCAGCGTCGACATTTCTCCGGGATATATCAACGACTCTTCCCCCACCAGCGTCGTCCTCCCTGCTTGTCCTCCTCTGTTTCTTTGCAGCGGCCTCAAACATCTCCTTGACACCTGGTAACTCTTTCGCCCTCCCGAAATATCGATAACCTTTCCCACCACCTGGTATCTCGCGGCCATCATCATCATATACCCTCCCGCCACCACGTGTGTAATTCGGCCCTCCAAGGTTTCGTATCTGCACTTCCCACATCCACTTTTCCCGCATCGCTTTATTGATCTCATCATTTAAGTCGCGAATCTGGTAGTCGCTCAAACTCTGATCTTGGATGCGCGAGACTTTGCGCGATATTTCCTTGAGCACTTGTCCCCGCCATTTCTCGCATACGGGAATCGAAGTGACGGAGGTGATGGCCTTGGGGCGGCGAGTGCGTCCTATGTCGAGGATACCGAGATCAGCGGCTTGGGCGGCACGGAAGCGAAAGAGCATAGACTGCGCCTTTTCGCTGTTGCGTGCCTAGATTTAAATGAGTATAGTTAGCTTTGTCACTGTTGTTACTTTCTCTCTATTTGTGGTCGCAGCGGCGATAGGGTGACTTACCATGGCTGCGGTATGTGAAAGGAACGAGCAGAGAATAAAAAGTAGATTTAATTAAATAGGTAGGCGTAGGCAGCTTGGCCTTTCTACCGGGGAAGATTTGTGAACGGTAGTAAAAAAGAACGGTTGTTATATATCCAGGTGGTTGCTGTGCAGAAAGTTTATACGTGACGACGATTCCGTGGATGTTTGAAAGTTTTCTTAATCGAGTTAGCGTTGTCACATATGGAGCTTCCCATTTCTGAGGTACCTAAAAAAAAGAATCAATCACAACTCTAATTCGAGTCTAAAGAATACAATTCTAATATGAATGGGTATGTATTTACATATGCGCTAAAATCATATATGATCAATTCAGGGAACCATCAAACAAAACTATATCAGCGCCTATATAAAGACCAGCTAACAATAAGAAAAGCAACATAGATTAAAGAACTGTCTTGCTCCCGGAGAAAACCATACTACCCGTCTTTCTCATCACGTATCTCATGCATTCATGGCAACATAAACCGCCTTGTCCTACTAATCCATATGAACCAACATGCAAATAGAACTCATACTACCCAATCAACAAACGAGGACGAATCTTCAAATTGACAAACAAAACAGAAAAAAACAGAAAAAGAGGGGCACAAAACGACCGTTTATAGGAAACCTTTGGAGTTACTCAACTTCCGTTGAGGAACCTCAATAGGTCCATTCGGCCCCGGACCGACAAAGACACCACTACCTCGGCGACTGCCATTGGCTCCACCGAATCGATCACCAATTTCACTCAACGTAGGCATAGTCCCGCTGCGACCCATTGCGCTGCCTCTCTCAACCCGCAACCCTTTCCAAGCCTCCAGCTCTCGCTCAAGTCGTAGAGACTTTTCTCTCTCTTCACGTAGTTCCCGCTCAGCCCGACGGGCCTGGAGTTGATTTTCAGAATCGCTTGATTGAAGTTCTTCAATGGTCTTGAGGAGCCGTTCGATCTTGTCGCGGGACTTGGAAATATCTTCTGATAATTGTGTATTCATTTTATCACGGCGATCGATCTGGGATTGAAGGTCTTTTACAGTGCGATCAACATTGCGGACCAATCGTTGGTCAGCATTCCGCTTGGATTCTTGTTCATCCAACTGGGTTTCAAGCTATATCAAATATGCATATTAGTTCCGGGATACCTTAAATGTGATTCATGTTACTTTGATGGGATATCCTACCTCTTGGATACGCTTATGTAGAAACCTTACATCCTGGCTCGCAGAGGAGTAGCCCTTAGTTTCCAAATCGACGCACTTCAACTGCGCCTCCTTGAGCTGCTTCTCCAAGGCAGCCTTTTCCTTGAAGAGCTGAGCAGTTGATTCACGTTCAGCCACAATTTCTTTCTGTATTTCAGTTGCCAAGGCTTCAGCTCGTCTCATCTTTCCAATCGCAGCTGAAGACAAGTCTTCTTGCTGGGCAAGCTTTGTTTTTAATTCAAGGAGCTCTCGGTCCATCTCGGCGGCGTTGCGGAGCGAAGGATTCTCTCCTTGTGCAAGTTCAGCCAAGCGATCCAACGCTTCATTGAGGCGTGTTTCAAGAGTTCGCTTCTCTTTAAGCAGTGCGTCGCGTTCACCGGAAATGTCATCGACTGACCCTCGAAGACCGCGTACTTGGGATAGTAATGTAACTACTTTGCTCTGCGCATCGTTGTGCGCATTAACCGCTTCGTCGCGTGAAATAGATACATCCTGTAAAGTCATTTCCAGCCGCGACTTCTCCTTAGCCCAGGTAGAGCTGTTCAAGACTTCGTCATCCCACTTAGACCGGAGCTCCTCGATCTCTTCTCGCAACCGAGCATTTTCCCCTCGGATATGGAGCACATTCTCACGCTCGATCTCGAGCTCATTTGTCAAAGTCGAGAATTCCATTTGATATTTCTTCCTCGTTTGCTCCAAGGAAGTTTCCTTGTCTTCAATGTCCATGGCACGCTGGCTTCTGTAGTCTTCTAATTCATTTTGCAGCCTCCTCTTTGCTTGTAATGCCGCGTCGAGATCAGCAGCGAGGTCCTCGACCTTTTCTTCATAAGACTGCGTTTGGCGTTGCAAGTCTTCGACAAGGTTGTCCATTTGTTTCCGTTCTGCCATGATTGTCGCACAAGTGTCTTCTGCCTCCTTGGCTTGCGATTTGGCGAATTGTTCGGCACGACTAGCTTTCAAGACAGCGATTTCAGCCTGCTCAAGCTTCCCAAAATATTCATCGGCGCGACTCTTGTAGAGTTCGAGGCTGGAGGTCAAGTCGACGACCTTGGAAGTTTCAGCATCTAGTCTGATTTGGAGGTCTGAAAACTCCTGGAGTAATTGGGCTCGACTAGCCGCATCTTGTTCCCTGGCAAACTGTGATTCCTTCAACTCAGAGGTAGCATCCCGAAGCTCAACCTCGAGGCCTGCCCTCGCATGCTTGAGCTTGTCGAACTGGCTTTTGGCATCTGCTAAGTCAGCTAGTGCACTCTTGTGGGCTTGGAGCAGTGATTTTCTCGACTGCTCCTGAGAGTTCAGAAGATCATAGAGTTCTTCATGAGATTTGGCTTGGACGTCTCGGAGACTCAACTCTCCAGTTTGAATACTGCGTTCCAGCGCAGATACTTTCTTGGCAGAGTCATCAAGCTTTTCATGAAGGCGCCCATTTTCACGCTCAAGCAGTTGCATTCTTCGGATTGAAGGGCTTTCATCCTGCCACGAATCCCGTGCCGGAGTGGACCTTTCAAGCTGACTTTGAAGATGCCGATTCTGCATTTCCGTGAGTTGCAGTTGATTTTGAAGCATCTCAATTTCAGCAGCAGTATCCATTCGCTTCTGGTAAGCCACAGTGTCCACGGTTCTGTCAGATCGGGCAGAATCATTAGCACAGTCATTGAAATTAAACCGGCGATTGTTAGGCGTCGAAGGATTCGAGTAGCGCTTGACAGGTTCCGAATTCTTCCTGAAATGATTCGGCGATCGCGACACGGCAACTTGATTTTGATCGATCTCCTCAAGCAGCGCCCTTTTGGAAGAGGAATATCGCGCATCAAGCTCAGCCATCTCATCTGCGTGGCGTCGGCGCATCTCAGCCAGTTGGCTTTCAGCGCGAGTGCATTTCTCTTCGGTAACTCTAAGTTTGTTTTGTACCGTCTCCAACACTGCCGCCATGTCGACGCTCTTCGACAAGCTCGGTTTGACCGCTTCCCAGGAACTGGGATTTTCGTCTGCTTCAGGGTTAAATACTTTATGGAGAAGCATCAGCTGGTGATGGCAATCTTGAAGCTCTTTATTCGCTTGATCAACTGAAGCTTGAAGTTTTCGCGTGTTAGTCTGGGCTTGGGTCCTTAGTTGCCTTTCGGTTTCGAGATTTCTGTTTGCCTCAGCAAGTTGTATATTGGCCGCTGATGCAGCTTTCTCAGCACTTCGGGTGGCCTTATGTTCTCTGGTAACTTCATGGTTGAGATCTTCGACACTTAGAGCCAACTTTTCCTTCTGTTTTTCCAGCGCGGTGATATATAGCTGAGAATCGTCCAGCTGTCGTGAAAGCTGCTTGTTGACTTCCTCTAGCCGAGTCTTCTCATTCTGGATTTGCACCATTCTCGATCGTTGCGTGTCACTAGCTCGGGAATTTGAGCGAGCAATGTCAAGGTTCTTTTGCTGGATTTTATTAAGCAGGGCCCTATTATCATTTTCCGACGCAGCAAGCCTCCCTTTGATAGTCACAAGTTCGCGTTCCAAGCGCTCCTTATGCTGGTCATGACGAATCCGGAATGCCTCAGACTCGGCTATGGTTCGAGTAAAGTCTTGCACCTGCACAGCAAGGCGAGCCCGCTCCTTTTCGGTTTCCTCAAGTTCCTTGGTTTTTGCCTCAAGGTCTCGTCGTAAACTTGCTTGTCGCTCGCTCGCTTGCGCCACAATTTTCTTTTCAATTGCGGTTTCGGCATCCAAATGTGCGCGTTCAACTTTAGTGAAACGCTCTCGTAGTTTGATAAGCTCGTTCTGCAACTCTTTGCGGGACGTCTCAGCTGCTGCTCGCGCTTCCGTGGCTCGCCGTAATGTGTCTTGTTGGATATACATTTCTTTCTCAATAGTAATTTTCGACTCGTTGAGATTTCCAAACTCCTGGTGAAGCTGCGCATATTTATGTTCACCGAGCATTTGTACATCGTCTCTTGATTGTCTTTCACGGCTAAGATCGGCTTGAACGGCATACAGCTGTTCCTTGAGATCTTTAACTTGTTGATCAAGCATCTTGCGACTTTGTCCGGCCTCAGCATCTTCGGATATCTTGGCTTCTAGTAGCTTTTTAACATCTGCGACTTCACGTTCCAGGTTCTTCTTCTCCGAAATCATAGCATCGGTTTGCGCTTGGAGTTCACGGAACCGTTGCTGCATGTCACTGTGTCGGCTTGCAAGAGTTTGCTTTTCGGCTTCCAGGGATTTCTTCTCCGACTCAAATTTCTTCACATCTCCACGAAGGATGGAAATCTCCCCTTCCTTTCGTCGGACCAATTCTTCATACCCGGTCGATGTGGAGGATAAATCAGAAATCTGCTGACGAATTGATCTATTTTCTTCTATGAGATCTTTCACTTGCTTTTTTGAAAACTGAAGCTCTTTGATCGTATCTGCTAGCTTGATGTCGAGGTCCTGGTCGGTCTTAAGAAGTTTAGCTTCGAGATCTTGTAATTTCCGTTCCTTCAAGCTGAGGTGGCTATTGAGCATCTTGATTTCATGAGATAATTTGTCAACCTCGCCATCCTGTTTTTTGTGACTATTCTCAATATCTTGTAACTGGTTCTCAAGTTGGGTGATTCGTCCTTGAAGTTCTTGTTTCTCCGACTCCAGGCGACTCATTATCTGGGCAGCCTGCTCGAGTTGCGAACGCCGAAGCTCCAACTCCTCTTCCGTCTTCTTTTTGGACACGATCAACTTATCCATTTGATCCTCCAAGCTCTCTTGATCTGTGATCGCGCCAGCTAGTTTTTCGCTCAGTTCGATCTCCCGAAGTTGGAGTCGCTTGAAAATTTCCTCTTTATCCAGCGCCAGCGCCCGCTCACTCTCGAGAGTCTTCGTTATCCGCTGCACTTCGATGTCTGCCCTCCTCCTCTCGTCTTCCAATTTTTGGCGCTCTGCAATGTCGTTTCGTGCCTTCTCCTCAAGCTTCCTGATTTGCTCGTCGCGCTTTTTTATTTCCCCGGCAGTTCGTGTGGCTCCGAGAAGAGGCTTCATCCGTATAAACAATGTCCACCATGGCGACGATTTTAGATTAAGGTAAATGTGGAAGTTGCGCTGGATGATACGGGTGGCTTCCGTACGGTAGAGCCGTTTGCTTACGATACGTCTTTGCACAAATCCCCTGGCAACAGACTGGAATTTTGTCATGATATCGCGTATGAGAGTATCTCTCTGCTCCTCGAGTTCTGCAAGCACACCAGCCCTGAAGAACATTTTTGTCAGACCAATACGATATATAGCTTTGTCCAGCCCCAGATTCTCAATAATGATTTTCGCCGCGTTTTGCCCGTCAATGTATCCCTTTGGCATTCGCGGACAAAGAACCTCATACCGCTGCCGGAACTCTGTGAATGAAAGGCGGTTGGGAAATCCAGTGCGAGCAATTCGAATACCCTCCAGTACACCATTACAGCGGAGTTGATCTAGTACTAATGGACCATTAAACAGTTTGGGCCTCTTTTTGTGGTTAGGCAAAATACAACGCACGAAATGAGGATGTGTAGAGTGTAGCTGAGCCATGAGACTCGAAAGTTGCTCCTTGTGCCTTTGGGCAACGGTACGGAATAGTCCTTTCTTTACGCGGCTCTTTGATACTCCGTATTCTTCGTCGACATCGGCACAGTCAGCGAAGAGATTGGCGATATGTTTATCATTTGACGAAGATAACAGTCGGGTGACCGTGTCGTTAAGAGGATCCTTGTTTTTCTCTAGCCAGCCCTCAGTAGAGTACTCGACTTCCGCAGCGTAGTGGGTGAGGATAAATCCCTGGGTGAGGCGAGAAGGGTGATATTTTGGGGATTTTCGATCCCACAACGAATGAAGCTTCTCAGTAAAAGATTTATCAGTGGCTTTTGGCATCACGGAATCTTCATCCAAGCAGGAGAATATACCAATTGGATTTGGTAGCTCTATGAGGTCGATGGTGGGCTGAAGATCCTTTCCAAAATCAATGAACTGCCATTCGATCTGCTCTCTGGCGTACTCTTCCTGTTCCAGGACGAACATGTGGTGGTTGAAAAACTGCTGTAACTTTTCGTTGGTATAATTGATACAGAGCTGTTCAAAGCTATTGCTCTCAAAGATCTCGAAGCCGGCAATATCGAGAACCCCAATAAAGTAGCTATCCTCACCTGATGTACCACTGCGGTCAAGTTGGTTGTTAATTCGTATGACCAGATCGGCAAATCCCCGTTCGTAGATACCTTTTGCCAGCGCATCGAGAGCAAGCCGTACTTGTTCAGGGGTCTGAACTTTCTCTACCCACTCCCTCCCAGCCTTTACCCTAGGGTGAAGCAGGCCCTTCACAAAGGGATCAACTGGGATGCCCAAAAGTTGACAAGCGTTTGCAGCACTTTCGTATCCTTCGGGTGTCAGTGTCGCTTGGTCAGCGCGTAGGCTTTCCTTGGTGACGGTGACGTTTCCCAGATGCATAACTGCAGCCACGGTTCGAAGAATTGACAATTGATCGTTATCAGAAAAGTTCATGATATCGAAGGCTTCCATAAGGGCATTCCATTCATCAAGGTCGGAAACGCCTGAAATAGAGTCGTTTCCATCCCGCGTGTACCCGAAATCTTCGATATCAAGGTCATAAAGCCGAAGATGCCGTCTTAGTTCCTTATCTGCGCCACGGAGAAGTTGATAAAATATGTGATAGCTTCGTTCTTGGGAATTGACCTTCACGACACGAGACTTTTCTAAGAGGTAAAAATCGATGGAGGCGCCACAGATTTGGCCGGTTCGTGAAAATTCAATTCGAATGAATTTTCCAAAGCGGGAGGAGTTGTTATTTCTCACGGTTTGAGCATTACCAAACGCCTCAAGGATTGGATTCGCCCTTAATATTTGTTGAGAAAGGTTGGAATATTGTTTGTTGGCGGAGCGGCCTTGTGGGACATCTGAGGAGGATGCAACGGCTGCAAGGTATTGAATGACCTTCTTCGTGTTTTCCGTCTTGCCAGCTCCAGACTCACCACTGTACGCACGTCAGTTACTCATACCTCGGGAAACAGGCGCGCGAAAAACATACGTGACTAAAATACTCTGGTTCTGCCTCTCTTCAACAAGATTTCGAAATGCTTGATCTGCCATGGCAAAGATATGTGGCCGTGTTTCTTCCCGTGTCCGACCCTTATACAGCTTCACATACTCGTTCGTGTAAATGGGTAATGGGCAGTAGGGGTTGACAGTGACCAGGAAGAGCCCAGAATACGTCTGCACCTTCCCGTTAATATATAATTCACCGATATATAGACACAGAAACCGCGATATTTCTTACGTATATTAAGTCTGATTTATAGCGCGTATGCAAATTGTGAATGACAGAGCCCTCATTTAAATGGGTTAGCTCAGCCATATCGTCCGCTTTATCGAACTTCGCAGGATTGACTTTATCGACGCTCTCGGCATCGACCTCACGTTGCTAGGAAAAGCCAAATTATTAGCATGCAAACTCCGTACTACAGTAATTCCAACTTAAACCTTTCAACATACACCGCCATCATCGCATTGGACTAATAAACGTCCATTCTGGTCATCCTCCAAGACCATACCCCGAATGAAAGCTTTCTCCGGGTCCCTCAACCAAACATATCTCTTTCCTGAAAAGTCATTATCGCCCTCAATCCCACGGATCTGATCAGCGCCTCTCCGTAGCTCTTCCGATTTTATAAATTGCGGAGCAAATGTATTCGAGGTTGGTAAGTTGCTTCTTGAACTTGAGCGCTGTCTGGCATGTGAGGATACAAACGTCCCCGAGCTCATGGGTGAGAATGACGCATTACGGCTGTGCATATATTGCTCTGTTGGAACCGAGGTGGTGAACGCAACAGACTTAGGCCTAATACTGGCTAGAGATGAGGTTGGAGCTGGTTGCGGCGAGTGCGGGGAAGGAGACGGAGAACCTCGACTGAACGGGTTGATACGCCTAGAAGAAGGGCTCTGTGGAAGGGGAGCCATGTTCGATTTACTTTAGGAGTAGACAGAGCTCATGAGTTCGAGTTAGTTCTCTCTATGGCGCGTGTATATAGCTGCTTGTCAAGGATCCAGGTCGCGAAGTAGCTAAATCGGTTGGAGATATTAGAAGAAACGAATGAAATAAGAGAGAAAACAACGCATCAGAAGCAAAGAATAAAGTAAAGAGCCTTCTCCTTTCATCCCAGAGAAACAATCGTTTCTGGTGGTGAGTCGTAACTGTTGCAATTGTTGTAATATTATTGACTTTTGTTGTTATGGGCTGTTGAGTGACTTCATCCAAGCTGCAGCAGTTGCTGTGTTTGTTTACTTTGTTGCGGCTGCCGGGGTTGCGGTGGCCCGTGCGCTGGGCGCCAAACAAACTTGGAAATGTCAAAGGTCGTTGGTGGGAAGTCACATGACCGGTTTATTCCGTTTAGCAATCCAAAATCCAACCGCCTTCTCCTCTTCTTCTCCACTTCCACATCTTCTCCTAACCATCATCGCCAAATTCTTTTCTCTGTACTACGGCTTGCTTTCGACACCAGGCGTACTCATGCTTCGAGTACATCATTTACGGTGCAATACTATCTAATCGCTACGCATGTTTTCGTGATGTGGCTAGATTTATTTTGATGAACTACCTCTCCAGGTTATCGACCATTTAGCTCTCGCCAAAAGATCCGTTTTCATTCTCCGACTACAAAAATCACCCCCTGTGCGGTGTGTGATGTTACGATTGGAGACTGGTGGTATTTACTGCCGCTTCTCACTCTTCTTGACGCGTAATACACATTCAACATCTTTATTGCGACTTGGGTCGGATTTACTCACATTTACAGAAGGGCTTAAAGGATCTCTTTAATATCAACCAGCCACCCATCCTAAGCCCGCCCGTGATATAATATATCCCGTCTCTTTGTATACCAGCGACTACGAACATCTTCTCAATATGTCATCGAATTACCCCCCTACCCCTTCGTTCGGTGGTCACTATAACCCCTCTCAACAATGGCCTCGAGATCCTCCCTCGTCAGCGCTAGGTGAGGGTTCTGATGCCTACCACCCACCACCTCAATCCTACTCGACCAACAACCCTAGCTTTAAGTCAAGCACTCAGATTCCAGGTTTTTCGGGTAATAATAACGCGCCCATACCTTTTGCGCCACCTTTTCCCTTCGTGCCACCTTTTCCTCCTTCCGTGGGCTTTCCCCAGCAGGCCATCGCGTCTCAACCCCAACAAAATGGTTTAGCTGAAAACTTACCTCCAACCCTCACGGGTGCTACAATAAAAGAAAATGATACGGCCGCTACGGCCGAAGGTTCGGACCCAATGGAATCGCCGGAATCCACGAATTTTGGTGACAGAGAGGAAGGTGAGCTAAGCAATGGGGAGATAGGAGCAGAGGAACCAGAGTCATATGGGTACAAAGACCATCAACCGAAAGAGGACATTGCTGGGCCATATCTACAGCCACATCGGCCAAATGAAAAACCGAAGCGGTATAGTGACGTTGGTGCTCAGGGTATTTGCGCTCATCCTGCATTATGGCAACATCCAACTGACCATGGCGCAGGACAACCTTCTTTTTCTCATTCATCCAGCACGCGTCAGCAACCTCCTGAAGGCCCCCGAAATTCGAACAAGCTAGGAAAGCATCAATTTCCCCAGCCAAATAAGACTTCCGCTGGGTTCTCTGGCCAGGATATGAGACCGGCCGATTTAGATACTGGCACATCTGCTGTCCATGGGGAAAGTGCTCAGGATAAATTAGGCTCTCGGGGCCACCACACAGTCCCGATGGAAGACGCGAGAAGCCCTCGCGAATCATTGCCTGTCTCTTCCGTCCAGTCACCCGCTTCCTGTGATAAAATAGACATAACTACTAATGGAAGCCGGACATACCCCTTATATGGCAAGTCCCCAGCGCAACTACGAGTCCAGGCACAGGGGGCATTACTAGGTTTAGCTCCCCACAATATCAAATTTGATGAACTTGTAAACGAAGGCATCGATCCAGTTATTCTCAAACGGCTTTACGATGAGATTGGACTCAAAATTACGTCCACCCGAAACAAACAGCACGCCACCACTAATCAGTCAAAAGAAGAGAAGCCCATGTCAGCTGCAAAGCCGCTGGTCGTTCCCGATTCCGACGCTGAAGCTGCTATGACGCCTGTCTCGCGTTCAGCTCCCGATGCGCTGGTCAAAGGCCCAAACAGTGAAGTTGTTCCAGAGGCACCCAGGATACCGAACCACCAGCCGACACAAGGAATATCAAATACGTTCACTACAGACTCAAGCAGGCCTATGGAGCGCAAGGATATAATTGCCCGAATGCTTGCAAATAAGGCCGCAAAGCCTCCGAGTACTACAGAGTCTGCCAAGTCTGAAGACCCAAAGAAGTCAATACCACTGCAAAAATCGCCCTCAGTCCCTGCTAACGATATTCCTTCCACCGCAAGAATGCCAACCTCACAGTCGCCACCCCAGGTTACCAGCGAGACTCGGGCGAAGGAGAAGAATAAGGCCCAGACGGAGTTGGCTAGGCAACGAATGGAACAATTGAAAAAACAAGGAATTGGAAGAAGCCAAACCCGGTCAGCTGTTGAAGCTCCGGCTGTTGCCCAACGACTTCCGGCAATTAACAGCCTGACTCTTAGCTCGCAAAATTCCACGTCCCCATCTCAGTCCTCCCAACCTCTACCATCCCTAAGCCATCCGTTGCCTAGCCGCCCACCTGCGCCCGAGCCACCGTCAAACGCTCGCATCCCTGGATTGTTCATGACTAGTTCTGAACCTACTAAAACCCAAGAAGTCTCTATTAATAGTAATAACTCCATCCCATCAGCGGAGCCATCATCGATAAAGATACGAGCTCCCCGAAAACGACCAAGGGCGTCCGACTTCACTGATGAGCCGAGCCCCGCACTCCAGAAAACTCAATTTGCACAAGAAAAGAGTGTCTCAAGCACCCAACATAAGGTGATTATTGACATAAGTGAGGATGAATTCATGTATGGTTCGGATAATGATACTACTGAGCCAAAGGGCCCCGGAGCCGAATCCCCTTTCGTCGGATCGGGTAGGACTTCGACATCGAATCAACTACTAACCCGAGATCTTCCTCCCCTATCCGACTTCCCTTCACGGAACTACTCCCATCGTTCCACTCCGGCAGTATCGACACCACAGCCGCGCAACCGAGGGAAGGGTCCAGACGATCTAAACGCGGAGCTCCAGGCCATGCGCCAGAGAATAGCAGAGTATGAGCAGCGCAAGAAAGCAAAACAATCTGCAAGTCGAGTAGAGTCACCGGGAGCCTTAGCGCACTCGGCTACAACCTCAGCCGACGAGAACAGTTCCGCTGCTCCAGAAGCTCAATGCAAGTCGACGATAGAAACTGAACTCGCTGTGCCACCCTCGAGCCAACCCGAGAATTCACAGGCTCATTCCACCAGTCCGGAGAAGGTAGTGAATTCGGGAATCCAAGCAAGCCTAAATTCTGATGGTGCCCTTCGTAGCCAGTCAGTTCTACCGCAGGGCTCGCTTGACCCCACGCATATTGAATCGATACGGAAGAAGTTCATGCGCAAAAGAGAAATAGAATCCGGGCTTCCCGTACTTGATGCTGAATTACAAAGATCCGAAGCGCGGTTGCGGCAGTTTCGTGAGGAAGAACAAAGGTTACTGGCCGAAATCGAGAAGGGAAAAGCCGGAAAACGTCTTCTCATTGAAGAACTAGAATCCCTCGGGATTGAAACCGCTGGGCAATCTATTGAGGAACTCCAAGCCACTAAGGACCGCCTGGAAGAAGCAGATGAGGATGAAGATATGTGTGATGATCAAGGTGAGCTCTACTCCCAAAATGGCGATTACCGTTTCGCACTTCCTCGCAGCCTATCGCGATCGGCCCCTAGTATTGTTCTAGTTGTCAGAGAAACTCACACTTCGGTTTACAATTTTCTAGCCCAACAACCCACCTCAAAGGAAACTACTGCTGAGATTGCATTAAACCATCAAGAATCAGCTCTCAGTGGTGTGGTTCAAGACCGTGGCTCCACATCATCAATCCAACCGTCGGCTAGGGAGCAGATGGCGGCCCCGCGTTTTGAGACCGTCCCAAAGACATCCCAAGAAGCGATAGATATGAGAATGTCTCCCCCCAAGGAAACTAGCGTTCTTTCCCAAGCTGACATTGCAGATGATGGGACGACATGCTCTAGCTCCGCCATGGACGAGTCGATGGGAAGCACACAAGATATGTTGGACCTAGAAGAAGAGACACAAGACCCCGAGGCACTGGAAGAGCGAGCCCCATCTCGATCTGAATCCGTTGCAAAATCAAAAATCACTGATATGGGCGAGCGATCGTCTCAAGCGAGCGTTTCTCCTGAGCCTTTGCACACTGGTTTGGAGAATAAACCAGCTCCTCCCGTGGTTAAACCTGATAACTCTGGAGCTTCAATGAGTTACCAGGGATCTTCATCTGGATCGGATGGATACGAACCTCCCGAACCGGATCCTGCTCCAGAGCAACCCGGTCTCGTTCAAACTTCGCCCTGCCTTGTTTTACCAGATGAAGTAGAGCATGTACCTGCCGACTCATACTCTCTATCCCAAAATGAGAATACACTAACTGTAGATACCCAGGGCGCTGTGACTGACCTCGGTCCGGATTCTCCCAAGGTATGAAGACCTCGCCCCTTCAGATTCCATTGGACAGTTTTAAAGTATTCAATAGGCCAAAGAGGATGCAGAGCGTGCCCATCGCTATTTTACCCCTTACAGGAGTCCGTTAAGGTTATTTAAGGCGTACCGATATCACCCTCGCTTCACTGAAGATGTTAGTGGTGGCTATCGCTCGTTAACTTACAGCCATAACATCGATCCTCATAATTACGTATGTCCATACGAGGCCGCAGGCGGATTTTGTAACGACCATTCGTGCGAATATCAGCACTTTCGACATATGACCTTGAGTGGTGCGTCGACGAAGATGAGCTCAAGAATTTGATTATGTTTCCACATTTTTGCAGCCCTTCCCCACCCTTCACTTCTCTTATCTCGTTCATTCGACTATATATCCCGCAATGTTTCCCGGTCCCCTTTTATCCCTTTGGCAGTGCTCGGAAGCTGACGTAGGACCGATATTAACCCTCATAGATGACAGAATACTTGTTGAAATGAGCTCCCTCAGAGAAGGAAAGACTCCTGAAGAACGGGACGAGTATGTTGCCGGATTAAAACAGACCATCAGCGATATGCGACGCGATAAGGTGAAAGATCTCAACACTATT